TTCAAATTCATGTATAAGTTACAAAAACTTTCTTGTCAACTTACTTCTGAATTTTCAGTTTATACTTTTACATACATGCATACAATACATGCATAATGTTAGACAACTCAAAATGTACTTTTTGACAAGAGATTTCCCGCAGCTGTATTCTTAATTTCCATGAAGTTATAATCGGTTTGAAATCACGTTTTCATATTTATGTAACTACTTTTCTTTTATAATTCAAGGTAGTTTCATGTATTATATAAAAATTATAAGCCTTTCAATACAGTACTTGTATGATAATTCTTAATATCTTAACTATGCCATTTCAGTACTGATGGAGTTCAAGCATATTACTTTTATTTACATTACACGTTAAATTATTTAGAGAACATTAAAGCTGTGGCTACAAATTTATATGAAGAAAACTTCAGTAATTTTTAAGTTTCTAAAGCTTTCCTGAATTAAAAGTTACTTTTCTAAAATTGTAAGCAAATTTTATATGATAAGTGGATAAATACATGCTGATGCTTTAATATATCTAGCCAGTTCGCATTTTAAACTTCTGAAACATTTAATAGCTTGTTTGCATAATAATTCTTGTTTTCCATTTTTAATCTATTTCTTATTAATTAATTTACATAAGTAAAAACAAAAGTATTATTTAGCTTTAGATCTACATCTTTTGATAACAAACATATGCAAAATGCTTGTACTTATAGTGGTTTGGTTTGGTTTATTTAATTATGGCAAAGCACACTAGGACTATCTGCCTAAGGGGGAAGGATGCCTTCCTGGAGGACTTTCTAAGGGAAACTGGCTCGTATGCACGTTGCACATGGGGAAAACCACGAAGACACCCATGCAGCCAGCCCGTTCGCGGGATTCGAACCTCGGATCGAACTACCAGTGTTCAGCGACTTTACCGCTCGGCCGCTGGTGGGCCGTTTGTACTTATAGTGAAAATAAAACAAAAATTGTTATTTTTCACTCTTTTTTTTTTCTAACACGGTGCAAGTCATTCCATTATATTCAAATTTTATTAAAACACAGTAACTGGATTTTTTCCATTAAAGTCAACAGTTTTGTATAGAATATATATAAAGTCAACAACTTTATATAGAATGATATTATGCTAGACCTACTTTACCTGAATTTTTATTTATATGAATTTATGGGGAAATGCCAGAATAAATGCAAAAAAAACATCTGAATAAATCTTATCCGACACTGTTATAATAGTATTTTTGTTTTCAATAAAAAGTTTTTAAGGTATACCATTTTAGTTCAGTTTCCCACCTATTAAAGGAGCTACCCTAAGATACATATTTTATTTACATATATCTCATTAATATGTTAAAAATATAGCTTAAGTGAGTTTTATGTGCATACTGTAAGGAGGGGGAAAGCCTTAATTCAAAACCTGTTTTAAAGCAGTAAGTAAATAAATAAAATACATTGCTTTTATTAGCATCTCAAAAAATAGTGTTTTGGCTTCTAAAAACAAATCCTAAGCATCACATCATGATAGATAATAATCTTACGTAAGAAGAAATATCTGATTAGGAATACATTCTTTATATTTATTTGATAAAAAAGAAGATCAAAACATATATGCAACATCACATTATCATTACAATACTGTAAAAAAAAGCGCACTCCTGCCTAAGAATCCTTTCGTGGATTAAGGGAATGGCAACACGTTACACATGGGGAAAACCACGAAAACGCCCATAAACCTCGACATTGATTTTAGTCGGCCGCTGGTGGGCCTAAATTGTAAGACATTGATTAGTAAGGTAAACATCAGTTGATCATTCTTTCACAGTAGCAATAAATTTTTCATTCAAATTCTTAAAAATATGCCAAAACAAATTTACGATTGGTGCTTAAGATTTAAGGTCACACAAAAGTAAATTTGATTTAGCAGAGCTTGATATCTTCCATAACATAAAAGTAACTGCTACATGATGGAAGTTTTTGTGAACAAAATACAAACATTTTATAAATACTTAACCTTAATGACTAACTTCAAATTAATCCAATAATGATGGAAACAATAATGTAATTGAGTACTGCAAATTTACTTTGTATGATATTTCTATGTAAAATCTGAAATTTATAATAGGTGAAGGACTTTACATTATTTAAACAATGAAGCCCCACTTCTGAAAGCGAGGACTTAGACAAGACATATAGGACATTAAAACATACATTACCATATTATTATATTACTCAAAATTATTACTTTCAATAATACTGTTCTTTTGCTTACTTAATGCATATTCCTATATATATGTAAAATTTAAAATTAAGCAAAAAAGTTTTTTTAGTTTAATCCTGATTTTGAACAAACCTCTGTGGACTTTGAGGGCAATCAAATACAGGTTTCTTTTTTTTTTTAGGGGCAAATCTGAAGAAATGAGACCTGTGTCTGATAGGCCTCGAAATCAGTAATTTTAATCAAAAACTATATCAAATTGAGGTTGCATTTATGTCTCATTTTAAATATGATTATTACAATAAAATACACATTTAATTGTATATATATAACAGCAAAATTTAAACAGTATTATGAATTATTATCTATTAAAAATTTCAATTTTTAATCTATTCTTAAGCACTGAAATTAAAGCTTAAATCATATAATGCCTGAATTTCAATATTTTGATTTATTTATAAAAACAAATTAGTCCATTTTTAATATGAAACATTTTTTTTTGAAAACTATAAAACTTAAAAAAACATACATTTTAAAAACTGGATATCATTGAATGGTAGTTTGGTAAACCCAATGCCTTTTACATGCTGTGGGGTCAACAGTTGTGTTGGATTAGGCACATTAAACAAGGCTTTAGTTTTTTAAAACCCATCTTTCCTAGAACATTCAAACTGGTTTTCTTCAAAATGCACCTTCAAATTTAACAAAAGCATGTATGAAGTTTAACATTAAAATCAAAAACACTAGTATTTAATTAATTACAGTTGCATGTACTAAATGAATTTAATCACACTATTAAGAACGAAATTTTGTGAAAAATTTTAACTTTTATATGAAAATAGGACAAAATTAAGAATAAATAATTAAGTTTATGAAGCTTCCTGAAGGACACAGAATATATTTACTTTACTATACAGAATAACCTAAACAATTTATAATTTATGTTATAGTACTAACCAATTTTTAACACTGGCGCCAACTGATATATTTGGCGACAATACATCAGAATCAAAATACAGCATACGACTTTAATTCACTATTCGTAGAGTAAAATTTAAATGAAAAAACGCATATTACAAGCCCAACCGAGAATTTTAGATTATCGTATTTTAGGATATTTTCTACTTCTTTTCCTTTTTTTTTCTATAGGCCCACCCTCTTTTTTTTTTTTTTTTTTCATCCCTCTATTATTTTTGGGCCATTTATTTTAAATTTTATTTTGTCTCATCTTTTCTTTCTGGCCTTTTGAACTCGTAAAAAATGTACGAAGCTCCTTTTTACTCTCCTCAAATACGAAATTGCCCCTCTTTCTATATGCCTTTCCTTCGCACCTATGCTTGATTTTTCGCCCATCGGTGCAGAAAGACTTAGCGGGTGCAAAACAAGACATCTGTCTACTTTGTCTGTCTGTCTGTCTATGCGTCATTTCCGGAAACGAAAAAAGTGGACTAGCGTCCAAGGAGGTTAGAATAGAAGGAGGGAAGGTTCAACTCAAACGGTGAAGCTTGGCGGCCATCTTCCTGTTATCACCGTGACTTGTGCAAGGAAGTATGTCATTGCAACATTTTTTTCTTTTCTTTTTGAAGCATGTCAGCTTGTATTGCATATGGATGCACAAATAGATTCTCGAAAAAAATTCCGGGTATTATTTTTAACACGTAAGTATTAATTTTCTTTTTTTATGTAATATGACAACTATGTCAAAAAATATCACAATGTCATGTGGTTTTCTTTCCAGATGTGGAAAAAAAGGACTTAAATAATCAAAATAGGTTATTTAATATAACTATAATCAAAATATATTAAATACATTTCAATGTTTCTGTTTATAGCTCGTATCTTCGTTCCTTAAGATACAATGCTATATGGTAGGATTTAAATTGTATAATTTGAACGTTTTAGTTAATTCGTTTTATAACTTTCATGAAAAGTAAGAAATCAATTGTTACTATTTTTATTAATTGTAAAGGTGTTAAATAAAGCAATGCTTTTCTTTATATATTAATTATTACTCATTTTTTTAAGTTAAGATAAACTGTTCTGTTGTTAAAAATGTTTTGCATAAACTTACAAATTTCTGGGCAGTATAGAGATAAAATTAAGTAAAATATTTACACCATTGAACATGTGGAAAGATGTATCCAAAAACTTATATAGGTGTATTTCTGTAATTCAACTTTATTAAAGGCAGTTTCTTTGAGATTAATAAATATGAAATGCGCATAAACTGAAATCAATGAATTCACATAAATTTGTTTTATTTTATTAAGATTTATTTTCTAACCTAAGCGAATCCGTGAAATATGCAGAAACATCATTTTTTAAAGGCTTTAATGTTATGCGCATGCATTTAGATTTCGAACTATTTCTTAATAATTTGCTGTACATAGTAAATTATGGATATCATCTTTATTACTTTAAAACAAAAATTCAACAATAGCGAGGGATTTCATTATAAATTTAACATATTTTTACTGGAAAATAAATGCACAGAACAGCTTAGAAACACGTACATATCACTGCCGTAATGCAATGTTTTGAAGTCACAAACATGGACGCCGCTTGTTCGGCGGAGTTTCATTCCCCGATAGTGGAGGAAACTGCGAACCCTCCCTCCTTCTATTCTAACCTCCTTGCTAGCGTCTCAAATCAGAATGGCCGTGAAACGGCTCCTTACGAGTAAAATGTTTAAGTGAACTGCGCATGCGTCGTTTTTTTCTATCGCCAACAAGTGATGGTAAACCTACTGTATTTCTCGCCAGCATTTCGTATTTCATCTCCTAGTTGCTGTCAGGAGTGATGATAACAACAATAATAAAATAGTTCTTTTCAGAACTCATCAGCGTTTTTCATTATAATTTCTATAATATTTTCATTATTGTATTTCTTTTACGAGGGGAGAAAAGTTCTTTTCGGAACTCTTCATTCTTTCCCACTAATAGTAGAATAAGGTATGTCTACAAATTTTATATCATGCCCAGAATGCCAGCACACTTTTAGAGCTCGGAAAAATCTCTATAAACATGTAAGAAAGTTTCATTCTTCTCTAGACCTAGATGAACTCAAGAGCCGAAAGAAATGCAGAGTTTGCACAGAGACTTTTAATGGTATGAATGATTTGGAAGCCCACATGCAGCTGTTACACAACAGTGCATCTGAAAATAAATGCTCACATTGCCAGTTTGTGTTCAAAGCAAGAAAAAACCTTAATGAGCATGTAAGAAACTTTCATCCATCTGATCATGGTGAATATAAGGACAATAAACAGACTTTAGTGTGTAGCATTTGTAATCAAAAGTTTTTGCACATGAGAGATTTGCATTCCCACTTCAAATCAGATCATCCTGATATTACATTGTCATTCCAAGAAAATATATTTTATTCTGTTGAAGATTTTGAAATATGGAAAGCTGAAATTGAAAGGGAAACACAATCGCATTTTTCTAAAAAATGTGGAGACCAGCAGCTTGTTGATGGGAGAATTTGTATGAGATTTTATTGTCACAGAAGTGGCGTTTTTGAACCAAAGAAGGATAGGATGTGCAGAGTGAAGAATATTGGTTCACAGAAAATTGGAAAAACCTGTCCTGCATATATTACAGCATATAAAAAAACTGTTCTGGATGTTACGGAAATCCAGGTACACTACCAGTCAGTTCATGTTGGACATAAATGTGAGGTTGCACGACTACCACTTTCTAAAAATGAGAAAGTGGAATTAGCAGGTCATATGAATCTTGGTGTACCTAAATCACATGTTTTGAATAGTCTGAGGAAAAATTATTCACCAACTAAGCGCTTGAGTTTAACTCATCGAAAAGATCTACACAACATATGCCGAGACTATAAAATAAATGAAGATGATGTTTTCCATCAGAATGATGCTATGTCAGTTGACATACGTATTAATAAAATGCTAAAGGAAGAAGAAAATTCTGTTTTGATTTATAAACCAAAAAACAGTAGATGAATCATTGGCAGAGTACCCTTTTATTAAAAAAGAGGATTTTTTTTTACTGGGCATTATGAATCATGCGCAGTTAAAATTATTACAATTATATGGGAATAATATCATAATGATTGATTCCACACATGGTACAAACCAGTATGGATATCAGCTAACAACTTTGATGGTAAATGATGCTAGTCACGAAGGGTTTCCAGTTGCTATCATGTATTCCTCTAAAACAACAGCCGAAACATTTTATGTGTTTTTCATGCAAATAAAAAAAGATACAATTTCAAACCATTAGTATTTATATCAGACGACGATCCTGCATTTTATAATGCATTTACAAATGTCTTTGGAGAAGTAGAAACACGTTTATTGTGTTCATGGCACGTTATGCGAGCCTGGAATATGAATTTAAATGCCAAAATACAAAATAAAGAAGAAAGAAATGTTGTTAAGAATCATTTGATGACAATCTTGCAAGAAACTGACTTGGAAACATTTACACAGCATTGCAAGGTGTTTATCGAAAACCTTATAGTATTTGAAAAGACACAAGCTTTTGGAGAGTATTTTCAAAATTATTATATGAATCGAGTGGAGCAATGGGCATATTGTTATCGTGTAGGTTCTCAGATAAATACCAATATGAAAGTTGAAAGATGGCATCGGGAAATAAAATATGAAGAAGCGAATGGAAAAGTTATAAAAAGACTGGATAGATCTTTAGGCATTGTCCTGAAAACCATTGCAAAAAAATTGATTGGTCGAATAATAACATTGGAACCTTCTAAATTAACATCTCGACTTTCAGAAATATGAAAACGTCATGATGCTGCGAAAACACTATTGGAAAAATCGGGCATCGAAATGGAACCTAAAAAAGCTTGGATTGTTTTTTCAAGCAAAGCTAATACATCCAAATCCTATTTGGAACCATACAGTGTGACATACGAAAAAGAATGCAGTTGTGAAATACGCTGCAACGATTGTAATATATGCATTCACAAGTTTTCCTGCACTTGTCATGATTATTCGATAAGATTCGTTATTTGCAAACATATACACTTTGTTGTACAGCATTTCAAATGTCATGATTTACCCAAACAGCCTGGAAGCTTCACAAACAGCAATGATGACCTCACCATTGACATAGATGAAGACATTAATCGCAATGAAGAACATGCAGCTTTAAGTGCTGAGCTAAAAAAAATATCATTTCTGATCTCGATCAAAAAAAGGCTGTTACTTTTTCTAAACTGCAGAGTTTATTATCAAGATGCCAGTCAACTGAAATCACAGCAGAAGAATTAAACACGGTTATTACAGGCATTAATGTAATTAACTCTAAATTAGATGCTGTATCAGCTAGCAGAAGAGTAATGCCTTCGTTTTCTACCAACAATAGTCTTATACCAGCTAATAAAAAAATTGACATACAGCGTCGATTTTCTGCAATTAAGACTGCAAAAAAGCGAAAATTACCACTAATTAAACTATTAAATATATAATTAAGACACAATAACACGCCGAATAAATAAGAGTGTGGCTTTTAGTGTGTACATTAATGCATCCGTACACACTAAAAGCCACACTCTTATTTTAGGAGATTATAAAAATTCTGTTGTCATTCCCTTCTTTCCATCAATTAGCTATAAAGTTGCACATATTTTGCAGAAATTTAACTTTCGGGTTGTTTACTCTCCCATCAATAAAATTCCAACTTCTATACTCAAGGACCCCATTCCGGATATGAATTCCTGGGGTATTTATAGGATTCCTTGCCAGTGCGGTTTAATTTACATTTGCCAAACTAAGAGAGCCTTAAAATTTCGCGTCAAAGAACATGAGGCATATGTTAGAAAAAGGAAAGAAACACAGAAAATTCTGTTGCTCAACATTGTTGGTCCGAAAATCACACTTTCAATTTTTCTGCTGCCAAAATTATTCAAAAAACATCTTCCATTGGAGAACTGGATTTTCTAGAGGCATTTCACATTCATAAAAATCTTTCTGTTCTAGTTAAACGATCCTAATTCCAATCCAAATTTGCCTTCGGCTTTTTTTTAGAGAAATTATGTTTTAGTTCTGGTTTCGCCAACAGATGGCGCCACTTGCTTATTCTTGTCCAGGCTTTCTTATCTTATCTAAACATTATTTCCTATCTTGTTCATTTGCGGTTTTGCAGCTGAAGATGATGGTTCGGTAAAACCATCGAAACTAGTCCTGTGAAAATTTTGTAAATTAACGCTGATTTTTGTTGTTTGACTTCTGAATTAGTATTCAATATATATTCAAATACATCTTATCGTATTTAAAAACTGTAGTGAAGAAATCACTTTGAGTTATTATTTAAAATAAATGTATATCCAATTTTGTTTTTTGAAAACTTCAGCCATTAAATATTGTTACAAAAGAAATGAGATTTATTTTTTTAAAATCTAACTTTGTTATTACGCCATAAAATTCAATGTATTGCAAAATATATTTTAAATGTGTTTGATACTTTATAACTTGCTTTTTCAGTTTGAAGAAAGGGAGCCAAAACATGTTTTCCATGCATTACAAAGATGTGAGATGTATTATGACATGAAATGCTATTCCTTACAATCAAAACAAACTAAAGTAACTGATTATTTTTAGAAATGAATGTATGTAATTTTCATACATAACTTTGATAGAATGGATACTTTAATGTATGTAATTTTTCATACATTGATGGAACGGATGCATTAATGTATGTAATTTTGCATTTATATTTCATTTACATTTAAAATTTTAAAATCATTATCAACTTAAATCGTATTTTTTCATTACCTCCATTTAGTGAAACTTTTGCGGGATTTTGTGATTTTGTTAAGTAGAGGTTTGACTATGGTAAATAAATTTATTCATAGCTTAAATATATTTAAACAGTTTTTACTTATTGAAGTCACAATTTTGCGAGTGTATAAAGTGTAGAGCTAATAGCATTAAGAGTTCTTGGCATTTGTAAATAACATTTTATAATTTCATTTTCTGATTATGTAAATAATAGATAACTCAAAGGAAGACTTTCAGCTGTTTTCAATGTCTCAGAACGATTGGTTTGGATTATCAATAGCGACACCTTATTTTGGTACTTTTATGTTTTGCCAGCGCAAGCAATAAAGTCACCAATAATGGTACAACTGATGCAAAACTGAATATCCTTGATGGTAACATTTTATGCCTCATTTTCAAAACAAGTCACAGCCATTTCTTATCAGATTGATTGTTTCTTTCATAGTACAATTACATAGAATTTTTACCCAGATTGTTCAATATGTCCTAAAGCCATTCGCAGTAATTAAGTCAAATAGGATGCAATCACACCGCTCACCCAAAGTCGAAAATATAGAAAAGGCAAAGTCAAGGGTTAAATTCATCAATTCTAATGAGAATGCACTAGCGAAGTAAACACTGCGGTTTTACATAATTTCTGAGTAAGCTATTCGTACGAATAAAAATAATTCTTGCATTTAAACCTATATTCTAAGTTAAGATTTAACTTTAAATTAATGTAGATAGTTACTGAGAGAATTACTGAGATTTTTGTAGTGTAGTTTACATGAAATGAGATGAAATCACTTGGAGTCACGTGATACAAACCAGCGAGTCAGAATGTTGAACCATGACAGCATAGTAAACACTTAAATTAATGTCTTTTTACAAATTTACTGGCTTTTTACAAAATTTTAAACGATATTAAAATGTTTATGCCTTCAAAATAAAAAATTCTTATAACTAACATTTTTTTATATGCATACTGTATATTGTCGGCAATAAAGTCTGCTTGGTGAGATTTGTGCCGGCAAAAAGGAAAAGTACCCTTATTTTTATAGAATTTTGCTTGAGGGCATTTGGTTACAATTTTCATTAAGCCTTTTGTTGCATTGTATTGTTTATATGTTTCAAGCAACAGTAGCCTTAAAATGACATTCTTTTGTATTGAATTTAGTTTGAATGTCCTTGACACTACAATCAGAATTTTAAAAAATATTGCATAAAAGAATACCTATATTTGCATTTAAATTTTTGAATAATTTAATCCATAGGTTGGATTAATATTGTTCAGCTTCTGGTGAATTATTAAAATCGCAATTTTATCAATTGGCCAGAATTCATGTTTCCTTATCAATAATTTTATCAAATTTTGAAACCGTCCTAAATATATTAAACAAACACTATATAAAGACAAATTTTAAGCAAAAGACTAACTGAAATGGGGAAAAGACATAGAACAATTGCTGAAACTTTAAGGATAATCCTGAACAAAATGGTAGTGGATAATGCTCAAGTTGATCATATCCATTACAACATTATTTAATTTTAAAGTGTTATATGTGGTGATGGGCCCCGTATGATAGGATTTCATTTTAGTTAAGGATACAAGGTTGGATATTCTTTCGGATAAAAAAATAAAATTTTTAAAAATAGACTTATTTTATATAAGATTTCAATAAATTTTTATGAATGAAATGTACATATAATTCTCTCTCATTGCATATGGCCTTGCTGTTGAGATTAATACTTTTTTTAATATGCTGTTTAATGTGTAAGTTAAATTTTTTTCAAAAAAACTTATTTTTTCTGTGGATTATAAAAGCCATCGTAATACAGAAAAATTATAATTATTTGAACCTGTTACACGGATACAATATATAAGCATATGAAGTGTTATTTAAAAATTTATCTACTCAAGTTTGTGTGTAAAGACTGTGAAACCTCAAGTTGTACAGAAGCTTCACGTTGGCTGCATTTGGTAAAGTATCATATTGCTTCATCAGTTTTTCTTTATCTTTTAAGCTTAAGCCCTTGTATTTGGACATTTTGAGGCACGACCAAAGAATATGTTGATGGGCGAACTGAACGAACTATAAGTATGTAAAGAAAAAAAAAAAAAAAAATTATACAGATTCTTTCTCACTACTTTTTTTTGTTTTGTTTCCCCTGCCCCCTCCAACTTGTCTCAGACAGTTCTAACAAGCCTCTTATAACCCACCCCACCCATGATTGGTCCAGCTAAGAAAATTTTAGCGTTTGCACCTCCATGTGTAAAAGCAAATCGATCTTGAATGAAATCACTGACCTTGAGACACAGACTTGGGGTATTTGACAATTCCAGATAAGAAAATTCTAAAGTTCTATTTGCACCTGCACATGTGAAAGTGAATTGAGTTTGAATCAAATCACAGAACTTAAAGCATGAACCTAGGGTTTTGATTTTACAATTTCAAAAGCAATTTGATTTTTGAAAGCAGTAGCATTCATTTTATTATACAGTCAAAAGTTGTTAATTCGGACACCCATAATCCGGACCTCAAAGCTACAAACTTTGTGCACATGCGTCTCGTTGACGCATGCGCGTAAGACCTTTATGGCTGCGAATAAGCTTGTGCGCGTGCACAAAATACGTTTACGAGTGCGCGTTTAATGTATAATGGACGGTATAAGGTAAGCTAAAATTATCTAATTATCTATTTCAGTTCATGTTGCAGATTGCGTTGTTCCTTAATCTTCGAATTGGATCCGGCTTATTATTTTTTGCAAACTGTTAGAGCAATTTTATAAAAGTAAGCTTGAACTTTCGATTATGTCAAAATAGAATTTCTGATATACATTTACTAATATGTAAATGATTTACAAAGCGAAAGTATATTTCGAAGTTCATTAAACAAGAAGTGGAATTGCTGCAAAAAATGGATAAAGGCATATCCTTTGTTTATCTAAACTTTAACGTTTGTTTATCTAAACTTTGTTTATCTTTAACGCCGCGGCGGGTGCGCAATGAATTGGAAGTTGATCTGTCATCACTATCCTTATCTTCAGGGCAGATGTTTTTATTTTATTTGGCTTATAATTCCTTACTGAATGTAGTATTTCATCTCGATGTACTCCGTCTTTGATATGATTTAAATCAAATTCCTCGTCATTATAATTCAAGAAATTGACAGAGGTTATTGAAAACGAAAATATTTCGATTGACAAATTAGTCGGTAGACACAGCAATTATAGGACTTGAACAGCGGAACTTTGTAACTGAACAAGAAAATTATGTCTGTTTATAGAATTAAAGAGATTGTATTATCACGTAAAAAACGAAGCAACTTAAACAACTTATTACATTGAAAGAAATGTTTAATAAAGTAAACAAATAAATATTAAGCTTTTTTTTGTAAATTTTGATACCCTTTAGATCATAATTGTACTTTATTTCATAAATTACGGTTTCATATTTTTAATTTTATAATTTCTGCATGCCATCTTACCAGATTTAAACTGATGATCTATAATCTGGAATCGCCGCGACGAGTCCGGATTAACGACATCTGACTGTAATCTTATTGGTGAACAACTTACATTGAAAGAAATGTTTAATAAAGTAAACAAATAAATATTAAGCTTTTTTTTTTTTTTTTTTTTTTGTAAATTTTGATACCCTTTAGATCATAATTGTTCTTTTTTCATAAATTACGTTTTCACATTTTTAATTTTATAATTTCTGCATGCCATCTTACCAGATTTATACTGATGATCGATAATCCGGAATCGCCGAAGTCCCGACGAGTCCGGATTAACGACTTTTGACTGTAATCATATTGGTGAGTGGTATAATCATAAGTGGTTATATTATAATCATATTGTATTCATTTGAATTCATTCCTTGGGTTTTGATTTTAATATGCAGTTGAAAGCAGTTGACTTTTTTAAAGCAGTGATTTTATTAAGCATTACCCACTGTAATGCCATCTTATGACAGAAATGTCATAAGAGTGCCATACTAATGAGAGCATCAAATGCTGGATGCTGGACTATCAGACTTTTACTGTAGTTGCTTTACAGAACAGAAACGAATGAGTGAACTGTTTCTAAAACTAATATTGCAAAATTACTACTACATTTAAAACTGGGAGCCAAAATTCTAAGATGATTATAGCAATCTTGTATCTAATAGCTGAAGAAGCACATCACATTAACAGACTGAAAATGTGCAAAAATAATTTTGGCATTATATTGTCTAGTTAAAGAGGATGGCAACATTGAAAGGGCTCAAATTCTGGTGAATGTGTTGATTACATAAAAGTTTTCACAGTTTTCCCCATTTGTAAACAGAATATGAGCCAGTTTGCTTTACAAAGCCCTACATGAAGGCATCCCCCTTAAAGCATATTCTTAAAAGTGCTTTGCCATAATCAAATAATCCTAATCCATATTCTAATCAAATAATTAGAATACACTTAAATAAGTTATCCCTTCCACTCACATATTTTATTATGTTCAATTAAAATAGCAAACTTCTTCCAATGTAATATCTTTTGTCAAACTGTACATTTTTAAATAAAAAAATTTTTCATATATTACATAAGCAGTAAGTTATCTATGAATGGAAAATAATCAAATAATTATAACAAAAACTAAATAAATATGACTGTAATTATTAAAGAAAGGATTCTGAAATTTGTAGATCTTTTTTGATATTTGAAAGCTTTCTAAAAGTCAAACCACAATAAAATTATTATTTTAGGTTGGGTTGATTTCATATAGCAAGAGCTATGTTGTTAAGGTAAGGGAGGGCTTCCTGAGGGAACTGGTTCCTATTCACTTTACACGTTGAGAAAACCATAAAAACCAAATATGCAACCAGCCTATTCGTCTTGGTGTTCAGGAAATCAGTATACCCTAATGTTAATTTATAATCTGATTTCAGAGAAATGTAGTCACTTAATGAGTTGTATTCAGTCTAATTACTTATTTGCACTATCAGAAAAAACTGTTTTTATTCACAAACAAAAGAAAATGTAATATTCAAAATCAATAACATAAATTTTAAGGTAGAATATTTTAAGAGTTTTCATTAAAACATTGAATTTTATTACACTGGAATTTTGATTTATTTTCTTTAATTTTCAAGTTAAGTCTGTCACGTTCATTTCAGAAATTCCTAATTGTAACACTTCTAAAATTTAATGCATTCCAGTGAAATGTTTTCTTCACAGCTGTTAAGTTTGATATCAGTTACCATTTTCATTTTAGTGCAACTGAATTTACGAATACTTTCTTCTCTCAAATGCTTTCCGAAGATTCGAAAAACGATTGTCCTACACTGTGATGGGGGAAATATATATATATATATTGTTCAGTTTTCATTGTTTACACTGAATACGGTAATTGCGAATGAAAAATTACAAACGAAAATCTACACAAATTGGCGAATAATAGCCAAATATAATAGCCGGCCGATCTTTGGCAGCCTTTGAAGAGAGCGCACATTTCGCATTGTCCATGAGCATGCGCATAACGTCTGTTCCGTAAGGAGCCGTTTGACCGGTTTGACGGCCATTCTGATTTGAGACGCTAGTAAAAAGTGGCGGGAATTGTTTATACAGTGTTTTATAGTGAGGTTTGAGACGCTTAAACGAAGAACCGCTCCTACATATTTGTTGGCTTATTTGTGTGTGAGCTCCGAACCTTGGATCTCATTTGGATATTAAAATATGGCAGCTAGTGAGGATTTATTGTATGCTAAGGAAAAGATTGAACTTGCTGGGCTTGATTCAGCAGACGTTTTTCCTGTGTATCAATCACTGACATTATGTAATGAACAAGATGATATTATTTTGCTTGAACTTAATCCAGAACTTAAGGAACATGTAACAAGAAAAAAAAATTTAACTATTAGAGGTGATTTAGAAGATACTGCTGTTATTTGCACAGAAAATCAAACGTTTGAAATAAAAGAGGTTGAAACATCAAATTCTCTTTTATTGATGCCAGAGTTAATCTTACCTGAAGAATGTCAAGATAGTGAAGAAAAAGTTGTAGAACAAAATATCACTGGGGTATTTCATAATTATTATGAGGTACGGCCTTTTAAACCAAATTTTAAAGCTTCGAATTATGTTAGAACGAGATGCGTATCGAGGCAAAGAATATGAAGAGGAAAATTTGTACGAAAACGTTACTTTAGAAAGCTTGTTGGACATAGTTCAGGCAAGTGAAGGTGAATTAAAAGCTGCATTAGTCGAACTGCAGACTTGTATAATTGACGGCTCTATACGAATTTTAGATTTTGATTATAAATTCAGTTTATTTAGCAGTATTATGGATATAATCGAGTCAAAATCTTTGCCAGTGAATAAAATTCCCAAGGAGTCTGTCTTAGATGCATTAGAAGATTCAGAACCTAAGGAAATTTATGACCAGTGCTTTTCATGGTTCACTCAAGAAACTGGAGATATAGATGAAAGTGGTAAGAAATTATATGCTCTCGATGAAACTTCAGTATGCAAACTGTACGCTGAAGTTTTATTGAGATCAGTCGGTAAATTTCATCTGAATGACTTTTTGGAAAGCTGGCAGAGGAGTGTTCCTGAAGGTATGAAATGTGACTTAAGTCAGTTACATGGTGTAGCTCTCACTGATTGTACTAGTACACCAGAAGTAATTTTTTACTTTCCATCTTATGATCTCCCCGAAAATATTAAGGAAAGATTTGAAAAACTTTTCAAAATTAAAGAAAAATGGGCATATGAAGAAATTTATCCGTATTTGGAAGATCGTGCTTCTGCAAAGAACGATGTGAAATCTTTATTAATCAAATATACTAGAGAATCTACTAAAGATGGCAAGAAGTTTTATAGCTCAAAATGGTGAAAAGTTAAAGAAAAAAAAATCTTTGCAATTCAAAATTGCTTTTTTCATCCAAATAAATTAAATATTAAATGTACTGTAGTTTTTCAAAAAAAAAAAAAAAATTCAGATGTAGCACATGTGAATTTTTAAAGAAAGAAAGGAAGTTAGTTTTAAACAAAATCCTGCGTTTATATAAGCATGCATAAAATATAGGTTTTCCTCGTTTGCTTGTTTACAAGAAATGTAAGTTACTTTACATCGGATGTATGAAAAAATTTTAATATTTTCTTATTTTTGTAACAGGAAAGTTTACAACAAAATTAGTAACCTTCCTTTTGGAAGACAATAACGATTATCATATATCACTCTCTCTTCATAGCAAACAATGAAGTTTCTCGTTTTAATAAAGTCTTCATACTGCAACTTAAAGGTATATAATCATTAAAGATGTTCAAACATTAAAATATACATCACAAACATAATCCAATTACTTTGCATGAGAAAAAATATGGTTAGTAAAAATGCAATGACTCCAACGGGTTCTTTCCCGAAGCGCCAACAGGTTCTCTGTGGATGAAAACCCTGTATGAATATGCAGATTTAATGTCATTGGTTATCCAAGAAGTATTTTTTTATATTTATATTTTGTTTCTGATTCATGTATTTTAATACTTACAAGTGCAACTTTGTTGCTGCTGTTTCCCACTGCATGAAAATAAAGTGTCAAACCTTTCATAAGTCAGAAAGATGTAATGTGAGCAATTAGCATTGTAATTTATAGAAAATAGTGTAATATCAAATACACTTAAAAATTAAAAATAACTAAAAAATGCTAGGATAAATGTGCAGTCTCTATAAATGTAGTAATATAGTTAGCTTCAGTGAAGAGTATAATTTTATGAGAATTAGGGAAATATAAATGCATTCAGAGACTTATAGATGGTGGAAGTCTGTTTCACAGTTAAACTCGCATTTTTTTTAAAGTAAAAATTTTCTTTCGATTTTTTTCATTAATTAAAAAAAGTGATAATGTAGTTTTTAAAAGAAAGTATTCATGAGATATATTTGTAAAAAGACACTGATCATAGAGCATTGACGGAAATTTCTTTCTTTCTATGTGTACTGTTGTTTTAGAGCCTAAAGGAGAATAGTTATGCATATTGATGTAATCAGATTACTCTGTGAATAATATTTTGTACTTTTTTGTTGAAGCAATACTGCACTTTGTGCTCAAAACTGGCAAACTCGTACAATTAGTAGCATGTAAATTTCAAATATTGCTAAATGCTTAGGTGGTGGCCTCTTTAACAAGGAAGTACTTATATTTTTTATGGTTTATTTAGTAATGTGCATATTAATATGACTATATTTCTATGTAAATTATATTTTTACAACTTACATAGTAATTTTGTAATATGTATGAAACTTATTTATATATTTTACTTTCATTATATTTAACTTGTAACATAGCACTGTTGTGTATTAATATGTTTCACTATGAAGTGTAATGAATTTACTGAAAAACATCTGACAAGAATCATTAAAATATATCTGATAATTTTTCATTATCTACAATATAAATTATTTTTGGTATAATAAGGTAAGTTAATGAGATATGGTGGTGTTCTATATTAGTACTATTTTTAAAGTTTGGTTTTGTGGGATTTTTTTCTTTTCATTTTCTGATTATCCGTGTCCCCATCAAAAACTTAAGCAATGTGTAAAGCAATGCTATATTTCCCCAAAATAGCTATGTGGTAATCAGGGCTGTAGAGTCGGAAGGGAAAATCACAGACTCCGACTCCCTCATATATATATATATGTAAACATATACAGATGGGTTACAGCTTATTTTTTTAATATAAAAGAAGTAATAGATGCTACAGAAATAAAATTATGGCATAGCAAATTATTTATGCTAATTAACATTTATTATGAAATGAAAAAACAGGCATTAGTTATTTCGAAGAAACAGTATAGCTTCAGGCAAGATCCAATTTGATAAACTTCAGAAAAGTCTTTCCACACTGACATGAGTAGGAGGAAGAGCTGTTACTGTTAGGACTACTTCTTTTAACTTTTCAGGATACCTTTTTATAAGTTCTAAAAGAGGTGTCTTGCAAGACCAATCATATTTCTCTATTTCTTCAAAGGCCATATAGAAATCTTATTTGTATTTTTTCATTTTTATATCTAAAGGCTCTTGGTTCTTTATTTTCATTCACTTTGCCATAGCCTTTTCAATATTATCCAAAAATATTTCTCAAAATCTAATTCATCACTGGAAGAGGATGATGGAGACTCAGTTGCAATGTCTGCAGTTTGACTGTCCGGATTTGAATCCTCCAATTGTTCTGAAAATAATTTCATTCTTATTGAAAGTTCATAGATGGCATTCTTTGCCATTTTAATTTGTTTGTCATCCAAGAAAATTCGGTGTTTTGGATCTACATATATTGAACCCAACAAGATCTCATTGTCTATCAAATAATTTCTCTTTTCTTTATTGAAGAAATGATTCCTTCTGCAATAAACCCTCTATTTCAGAAAGAACAAACATCACATTCTTTCATTCTCACCGCCTGTTAATTCTTCAGATTGTAGCTTTTTTGAGACTATATACGCAGAGGCGTAGCTACGGTTTTCAGCGCCCGGGAACAGTTGAAGAATTTCCGCCCTTTTCTGTGTGCCAAGAATGGAAGACATTTCATTTTAAAATTTTGTAACATCAATTTTGCGCCCCCTGGATGCTGTGCTCGGGGACAGATGTTCCCCTTGCCCCACTCTAGCTATGCCACTGTATATATGGTATAGAAAGAAGAGTTTCCAATTCTGAAAGATCATTCCACAATCTTTCTGTTAGTGAAACATTAGGGTTGTCTACATCTTCTTAATTTTAACAACCTCTATATCATCAAATATGTACTTCCCCATTGCGTTGCTTGATCAATTATTGTTCTTTTTCCTGCTCGCTTCCTAAGAATGGCATCAATTTTTGGGAGTTCTTTCTGTTATTGCTGCTTACCTAAGTTTACCAGTCAGGTTTGTAACTAAATGAATCAGTTTAATCACTAATATCAAATATCACATCCACACTTCTGCCATATATTTATTATTTATTAAAATGTCAATAAAATAGAAAATAACTATTTATTAATGTATATAGTTCATAAATTAAAATAATAACTCAGTTTGTCATTAATTTTTTTTTTTTCAATTCACTTTAATTTCATTTAAAATTCAAACTGTCTTAACAAAAACTGGAGTCGGATTCGACCTGTTTTTAGCGACTCCAGCTCTGACTCCTTTTACCCAAAAATCTGCCTAACTCTGATTCCGATTCCACAGCTCTGGTGGTAACCCACCATGGAGGTAAGAATAAAAGGAGGCGCCAACCCCACACTATGAACTCATGCAGGGCTTCCAAGCTTTGGTCTTCAGATGGGGGGGGGGTTTCTTTGTTTACATCCAAACCATCCTTGACAGCTCTTTAGCAGTATTTCTATACATGACAGTTTCACTCCAGTCAAAAATTGGGTACACTTCTGCATAAAAATACTTATTGTTGGATGGGCAATAGCAATTTGTATAGTTTAGTAGCATTTACGAAAAAATTATATCTTGGTTATTTTTCAATAAGTTGCAACAGTGATTTTGATTATGAATTTGTTTCATAAAATTCTAAGCTCCTGGAATACAAAAATGTAGATTTTAGCAAAATGTTTAGATTATGCGTAAATAATGAAAAATACCTTAAGATACTTTAAAATGTCAAAATATCACAAAAACGTAAAACATTTTATATCTCAATTTCCTTATAACTAAGTGGTAGAAGCATGGAAATTTGATACTTCTTTCAGTGCCCTTGATAGAGTATTCACTACTTTTATATTATGTTCCGAATATTTTAAATAAAATACATTTTTTGGTCCTACATATATTGTAACACGTACATTTTAAAAATTTTTAGAGGGAGAGACTTAACAGTTGCTCATTTTAAACTCATCATTGTATTTTATATAACTGAAAAATAATCACTACATTTTTTAGAGGAGATAGTTGCTCATTTTAAACTCGCAAGTTTATTTTTATATAAATGAAAAATAATCACTTTGGGTTTATACTTTGGTTTCACTAAAAAATGAAATTATTTAGAAATCACCAAATTGTATAATCCTCTTCAAAATTGATAAATATATTCACAGATATGCTAATAAGTTAACTTTTCCTTCATTTGTAACCACACATTTGTGTAATATTATATACAGCTTTACACAAATGAAGAAGACTGAAACATTTGCCATTTCGGTGGAAGTAATGTGTGGTCAAGCTGATTTGACCATGTGAGTGTACCACATCATTAAGACAACTTATTAAGAATCTGAAAATAGAGTGATTGACAGAAGTGAAAACATGTATGTATCCTGCTGAAGGAGGTCCAATTTTTTATGGTCGTCTTATTGATTCCAGATTGTTAAATGTTTCTCATGCAAGTTTTTCTTTACCGAAAATTTCAGGTTCATGCTCACTCATTTTTGCAAAAATATTGTAAATAATTCAGAATTCAGGTCAGATGTAGAATTGCCCCATGCCAAGCAGTGGGTGATTCTTCACTTCTGTGTCGCTTTTTTAAAATTTAATTTAGCAACATGTTTAGTTGATGGCAAAATGTAATACAAAGTTATTGAATGAAAAATCTTTGTTATTCAGTACTTATATTTGAGTAGTGGTCTGCTATTTTTGAAACAGTTTCAAGCACCATCAATGTTATTAATTGGTATATCAATATATTTTGCATATTGTTACCTTCTGGGTTACTTCTTCGTACATAAATTTCAGGTATTTGTAAATTTAGATCAGTTAGTTATTTTAACTGTTTTAAAGAATGAAGCAATATTCAGAATAATAATTTAAAGAATGAAGCAGAGTAAGGCAATCAAGACTGTCATAGGATGACAATGAGTTTAGTGTTTAAATTGAAATGGATAGTTATAATTTATTTCATTATCAGAGAACTATTAAATTGGGTAAAATTGCTAAGAGAGCATCTTATAATAACTCAGTTACAAGTTTTAAATAATATTTTTAAAAAATCCATTTTTATTCCTTTTTAGAATTATTCATAGAAAGTTAAGTACTTAGAAATCAGCAGCAATGTTTAACATATTATTTTAAAATAAAAGGTACTCTAATTTGAAATGAATCGAACAAAGTATTAATTATAAATTGACCTTGATTTTTGATTTAAAAGTTCAAAAGCTAAAAAATCATCTCATATTTGAGAAATTATTTCAGGAAGAAGCTCTGTAAATAGAATAGAAACATTGCATAATTTTAATAATAATGGACTTTGATCCTAATTTTTGTAATCCTTAACCAAATAAAATCAAATTACCTTAAATTTTTTTTTCTAGTGTAATTAACAAACACTTGTGAAAATATTTCATTCAAATTAAACTGTTCCGTGAAAAATATAGCATTTAATTCCATTCAGAATGAAATGTTTAAAAATGTATTATTTTCACATATTTAGAACTCTGAAATATTGTTAAAAAAAGGAAATATGTACATTTAATACAGATATTTATGACATACTTATAAAATGTGTACATCCAATCATGTTGAAACTCATTGATCTTAATGGCAAGTCAATGAATGTTTTGGTCTCCACGAGGGGATCTCCACTGCCTCAAAGCAGTGCATGGGAAAAAACAGTTAGGGCCTCCATCCATTCCTATCTCCATGCAACCCACAATGTCAGCAAGAAATATTTATGTGGCATTCCAAGTATCTACATTGTATTGTACATGTCTCATTTGGCCAGTGGGCAACATCTAGATTATGCATGATGCAAAGTTAGTGCAATTCTATGATTTTTTGGAAGGGGGAGACAAATCATCGAATATATGGGAAGAAACTGCAACAAATGACAATTTTCTTGTTATGTTTCTCGGTTTTGACATTTTCTTATTAGACTTCTAGAATCAGTTTATTGCTAGTTAGTTAGAAAGCTGTTTCATTACATCAGTTCTTTGATGTTCTGTTGTTGTTTAATACAACGATAGATAAACTGTGTATCAAGAGGAGATGCACATTAAGATTCAAGAAAACTAAAGCATTCCTAATCCAGGGAAGGAAAAAAAAAAGATTATATAATTTTAAAGCACTAAATACTAAGCAATAAAATAGTTTTGGAGTGGGGGGAAAGGATATTTTTTGTTTATCTACATTCCAACCAAAATGCCATGGAAATGTACTGATAAGGCCATACATACTATATAGCCATAGCATCCCTGCAGAGGGCTTTCCACTTCTTTGAACATTTCTGCTAACATAATTGCAGATGATAATACTTGTTATGGGAATTTTGGTGTTTTAGCATAGCAGTGGACCACAGACTGCAGTTTTCATAATCTCCAGCAAAATCCAAAACTTAGCTTTCTGCATGCATTTAGTGTAATATGGCTCT